TTATTATCCAAACAGCTTTTATATCAAAATGTAAACTGAGGGGAAGATTCATTAGCATTCTGTTTCCTAGGTCGTGGGGGAATGACTTAGGTCATGTCTTATAGCCATGCTTGTTGTCAAGTCCATGCCCATGTCCATTTTGTCACATAGACTGAAAAACACTTCTTCCCCAGGCGACCTCCTAGATTACAACAGGAGGAGCAGAATGACATTAGCATATCCTGATCATTTGCTTAGAATGACTATCAAAAGGCTAAGTGACCACCTTCTGTACGGCAGGTGCAATTGTGCCTTGTAGGTCACTCGGAATTCTCTGATGGACTGGCAATGTAGGAATGTGGACCTGTATAATCCATCCCCTACAATCTACTTCCTTTTATTAATTTTAACAAAGCCTGTGCTTCTGCAACAGAACAGATGATCATGCCTGTCTTAGGCAAAGACTCCTTACTTACCGAGACTAACCCGTCAGCAGAATAAGCATTCTAATTATGCAAGTTTCTGTCTTAGGCATCTGGGTAGAAGAAGCTTCAAACCTGTCTCTGACTGCCAACTTCTATGAATAAAAGAAATTAAGGGAGAGAAATACCTTTGGACTCTGTGCCTTGGAGCCATAATTTCTTATCAAACTCTCTTTCCTTATTCTTCAGATGCAGCTAATAGTTAGTCTCTACCCCATAGGGTTGTTCTGAGAATTAAATGGGATAATCCCTGCTGTAACATGAGGGCCAGCTTGTTGGGGTTTCTGTCCCGCCCGGTACCCCACAGCCGGCATATCCCAAAGAAAATCACACACAGGACTCCATAAGATTATAAACTGATTGGCCCATTAGGTCAGGCTACTTATTAGCTCTTATAACTTATGTTACCCCATTATCCTTATCTACATTAGCCACATGGCTCAGTACCTTTTCCAGTGGGGCAGCTTACATCTTTCCTCTCTGGTGGTCTGGGCAGAACTGCGGAGGGAGCTTCCTGCTTCCCAGAATACTCCCAGTCTCTTTTCTCCACCCCTACTTCCTGTCTGGCTTTCCCGCCTATACTGCCTGCCTGGCCAGTCAGCGTTTTATTAAAATATGATTGACAGAATACAGACAATTCTCCCACACCACCCTGCAAAGAGTTCAGCCTGGGTTTGGTTCCTAGAAAGGCTTCAGTAAACTATTGACAATTATTACAAGCATCAGCTTGTTTAGACTTTTGAAAACATTGTAACTTGAGGTTTATAGAAAAATAGATGAATCATCTTTTAAAAAAGAATAGCTTCACTAAAGAAGGTAGCCTAGAAAATTAGTCTTTTGTCTAGCTTTCATGTATCTGAGCTATACAGAATGTAACAGCATCCCCATTGCTAAGAGAAGAAGACAGTATATTACCACCACATTCTTACACACTGTTAGCTTGGTGACTATGGACAGTACCTAAGTGTCTCACTTTGGGAAGAGAGCAGCCATTTTCAGTTAGTCTCATGTTGAAAACCCCAGCAATGGTAAAATATAAAGCCCAGATGTCTGTGACAGGTATGAAATATAAGCAGTGCTTACCCTATATATTCCAAAGGAAGAGGCACTACAGATTTTATGGGGTCACCTGTGGGCATTTGTGTTTCTATGCAAACACAAGGCACTTACTGGGAAGGCAGAAAACGCAATGAGAGCTTGCTCATTGCCCTGGCCAGTGTGCACAGATGGCACTAAGCCTTCCTGTCTTCTTCATTGAATTGGAAATGGGACGGGGTGGGGACTGTCAGTAATTTCTGTCTCAGAGGGCCATCAAGACAACTGAGTGATGGATGCTAACGGCGCTGAGTTCACAGTCTGATCCAGACTATGCCTGGACCGCAGTCAGCCTCAGCAGTTCCCATCCAAGCAGCAGCACAGTAGGATTCTGCGTGCCACACGTGAGATTTGGAGGCAGATTGGACTAGCTTAGGTGGAGAAATTGGACATGTCTGTGTTCACATAGCATGATTCATATCTACTCTGTTGTTGCTGCTGCTGCTTTCCTGTAACCAATTTTAGAGCCTGTCTTGGCAGCTGGAAGTATTTGGGATTAATTTCACACTCGCTTTATGAGTTGAGTGTTTTCCTGCAGCTCCCTGGGCCTCTGCCTCATTACTTTGGCATCAACTGATATGGGCATTGGACAGAGATGTCCTTTGGGGTCTCCATTTTATTTGGAAACCATCAATTTGAAAAAGCAAAACAAAGGCCATCAGCACATTGTGCTTGAAATTGTTAGCATTTACTGTTTCCTACAGCCCTCCCTTCTGTAGTTCGGTACACAGCTTTCTCAGACAGTGGTGAGCCCTGAAAAAGGAGATCGCTCTCCCTCAAATGTTAAGTCCTAGAAACTGGTTGGCCTTGCTTCTTAGTAACACTTGATCTGGGAGATCTTTTGGAACTTGGTCATTCAGATCTGAATCTTGATGGGTTAGTTTTTCCAGCCCTCTTTAATATGCTAATTCTGCTTACTTCATTTGGCTCTCATGGAGAACAAAGTAAACTTGGCTGTTACACGCAAAACTAAATTGAGAACATGGAGCTCTGTTTAGTATTTCATGCTGGCCAGTAGGTCAGAAAGATTTTCCTTGGGGGTAATTTACGTAAGAAATTGTTTCTCCCATTTCTCTCCAGTTTCTGTGACCGTTTGGGGATAACAGTCTCTTTCAACAATGGCACAGAAGCATATCCTGCGAGAGACAGCGTTTCTCCCAGATTCCTGCAGTTGGGCCTTCTTCTGGAAAGAGCCTGTGGCTTGGGCTGCTGTCTCTCTAGGTCCTTCTTTCACTACAGCTGTTGTTTAGCAAGTTGGGTGGGGCCACGAACTGACACACTGCTACACTTAGTATTTTCCCCAGGTAGTTAGGAACACGCATCAAACACACTACCCTGAAGTCCCAAGAGCGAGTGCCTCAAGCTTTTGTCATGCCTGGCAGTGCTCTATTGATGTCTTTGGAGTTAAGTGCCTGTTCTCCACCTGAGCTTTCCCCATGAACAACCTCTTCGTTTTCCTCCTTCTCACTGCGCTTCCTCAAGCAGTCTGTTCTCCTTTGCTTTGCTGGGATTGTACCCTCTTTTGAAGACACCTGTGTATTGGGAGGTCTCCCTTCTCAGTTGTGGGCAGGAGAATGATTAACATTACCTCTGGTGCAGAGGGCAGAGTGTGTCCCCTAGAGTGCATTCTGCAAATTCCTGCACATACCTGGTACTCAGGAGCTGTTCATGACCTTGATCTCTCTATGAGGTCAACTTTGGCTGGTGGACATCTCTGGCAGTACCATTGCTCCACAATGAGGCCTACTGTTAACGTTCACAGCAGAACGGAGTGTAAGGATAGAATGAGACCGAGCTGGCTGTGGTCCTGGGAAGGGTGCATACAGTTTCAGGTGCTACAATTTAAGCAAAGTGGCCTCTCCCATCTCTTCTAGGGGACTCCTTGAAGTAATAGGGAAGGGATGAGTTCCAACCCCATTTGAGTAAAATAGACCCCAGGGATATTAACTATGGTCCATCGTAATCAGTCCCTTGCTAGCTTCTTTTACACTTTCTTTTCTGCACAATTAGAACATTATTATAGTGATACTTCTTCCCACTAATTGGTTCTGTATGTACTCTTTCTTTTCAACAATTATGAGTTCCCGTGGGCTAACCGCTCTTGTCTACTTTAAAATGCCAGAGGAAAGCCCAGTCCTGGGCACACAGTAAGCGGTTCATTTTATGTGTTGCTGGCCTTGCTTCAGACACCATGGCTCCCTGGAGAGCTGACTGAACTGTAGTCGGCTTCTGTAACTCCTCTAAGATGTTGGTCACGTGGTGAAGAATCCTGGTGCCCACGGCCTGTTCAGGCAAAGCTCCTGGGTTCAGGCAAAGCTCCTGCTGTCTTCCCATCACCCCCATCTCGTTTCCAGTGTCCCCCGGACACTCTGATGACCGTCCCTGGAGAGCCCCTCTCCCCGCATGGAATTTGAGAGACCACACAGCTGTAGACTGTACTCGTTTGAATGATGATGTTTTAACAAGCCCTTTGGGCCAGTGTCAATAAGCCATGAAATATCACCGAACGGATCGTCTGCACCAGACTGCCGAATCTCATCTGAGTCCTCAAGCTGGCCGGGATGTTGAGAAGGAGTTTATTACTCCAGCGTTGGCTCTTCCTGTTCTTGGGGACTATAGACGCCGTGAATCTCTGGGCCAGTCAGTTCATTACTTTTAATGAGCACAGAATTCACCAAGACATTAAAATAAAATAGAATCAAACACCAATGGGCAGACTTGGATATTCCACCCAATTGTTACTTTAGTTCCTTTTTCCACAAGATTATTCAAGAGAGGTTTTTAAGGCAGATTCTATTCAGTCCTGCCAATTTCTATCCTAAATAGATTTGGCATTGCAAACCTAACACACCCTGAGCTGTTTTTAATGCCCTGTGGGTTGGTGTCTGACATTTGTGTTAAAATGACAGTTTTCAAACTGATCAGATGTTTGAACCTTGTTTGACTTTTACATATGTGAAAGAAATATTGGATATCTCAATGTCTTTAATATATTAAGACAAATTTAAAAGAAGTTATTTTCTGAAAAAAAAGTGATGACATTATTTAAAACACAGAGAAATAGTCACTTTATTTTATTTTAATTGATCAGTGTTTAGAGATAATTATAAAAGACTGGAATAGGTTTACTCTCAAGTACTCCTATCCCTACATAGTGAAGGAAACCAGTGGGTAGGGAAGCTCACATGGAACAATGTGCCTATAAAGCTGATTTTGTGAGTATTTCCACCCCTGGTCATATGGATTTAGAATTACTTGAGACATTTCCTCAAAGAAGGAAGCTAGTGGATGAATGATGACTTCTTTATTATCCAACCTAAGTGTGTCTGTGGAAGGCAAAGTTCATCAAGTTGTTCGAAAGGAAACAGAAGTGTGCCAAATGCAACTTGCTGAGGGCTTAGGGGCGGTGTAATCAGCGCTAACCAAAGTTGGTCCTGTCTTCAGGTGATGGCTCTAGCAGATGCGGTGGAGGAGAACCAAGACAGGCTGCTGCAGTCCTCCGCTGGCCTGAGGAGCGCTACCCATTTGCTGATCCTTCTGGTCAGACTGTGGCAGAGGCTGAGCACTGACCAGACTGCTATTCTAGAAGCAGCGTTTCTGCCATTGCAGGAAGACACGCAGGAACTGGTAAGGACCCACAAGCCCCACAGATGCATGATTGAACAGGCTTTGGTTTGGGGGACATATCACATGGCTATCAAAGAGGCTTGTGTTTTTACAAAAACGCTGTTTTCCTTTTCTTTAAGCCATAATAAAAGTGTCATATGATGGCACTTTTCTTTTCCTTCTTGAGCGGTTTTAAAAATAGGTATATAGTCTATTTTTATGTAGTACCCAGTCTGCTTTTATGGGCTCCTCAATCTCTGAGAGGCAGAGAGGTAGTCATTTGACAGCCTGAGTGATCGCAGGAAAGCCTCCAGATTAGCTAATCCTTCCAAGGCTGCCAGAGAAAACAGCTCAGTCATTTTAATTTGTTCGATGTTCTTAAATTTTAGTGTCGCTTCAAAGGTTGTGGCACTGGGATGGCTTTGCTGGAAGTGACAGGAATAGTTCTTTACGTCCACAGAGCTCTTTATAGTCGTTCAGAAAGCCCTTTGCCTTGGAAGAGCCCTTTCAAAGTGAAATGGGAAAAGTGAGCCCGTAACTTAGATTCTAACCAGAATCCATTAAACAAAAGCACCTCACTTGTGTGATTCATAGATGTGCACAGGACCAGGGCCTTGTGCATGGCCTCTGTGCTTTCCTTTACAGAGAATGATAGGCGCCTTGGAAACCAGTGATCCAAGCCCAGCTCTCTGTGGTGGTTTTTTTCGGGGGAAAATGACTTCAAACCCAGTTTCAGACCTAGATCTAAGAATGGTTGAGAAAGTCACAATGCTGCAGCTGACAAGTTCCCCAGGCCTGCCTGGCCCTGATGCAGCTGTCCCCAACCATCTCATTTCATCATAGATGTGGCACCAATGAGAGCTAAATTCTGTGACCTTCTCCATTTCACAGACAAGCCAAAACCTCAGCTTTCTATAGTTAAATGCATTTCTAACACTGCTGCGGTAGGCCCAGGATTTGGAACCAACCCATCTGCTCAGAAAATGTATGCTTTTAGTCAGATGCCTTATTTTAGTGAACACATTCATTGCTTTGGTTACTTTTCTATTGTCATGAGCAGATGCCATGGCCAAGGAAACTTTAAGAAGAAAATATTCAATTTGAGGCTCATGGTTCCAGATGGTTAGATTCCATGACCATCATGGCTGGCCAGGAATATAGCAGCAGGCAGGCATGGCAGTGGGGCAGTAGTTGAGAATTCACATCTGACCCACAAACACCAGCAAGGGGGGGGAGTGGAGGAAGAGAGAGAGAGAAAGAGAGAGGGCGCTAAATGGGAATGGATGGTGTGGGCAAAGCCTACTTCTAGTGAAGTACCTCCTCCAACATGGCCACACCTCCCAGTCCTTCCCAAACCTTACTACCAACTGGGGACCAACCATCCAAATATATGAGCCTACAAGGGCTATTCTCATTCCAACCATCACAGTCATAAAAATTTATTTTTTAAAAAAGAAAAAGCTTTATTTTGTGACCTAAAATATTAATAAATACACTGAAAAAAGGGAAGACATTTTTAGTTGCAAATTCTATAGAGACTGGCAATTTTCTTTTATAAGTCGAGTTGACCTTCAGTAGCAGAATTGGAGATGCTTAACTGCAGCGAGAGAAGGATCATTGTGCTGTGGTCAGATTATTCATAAATGTACTTTAGAAGGCTAATGGCCTTGGTTGATCTCCAGCTTAAGGCCCACCACTAAATGACAGTCACCGTGGTACTCAGCTGCTCTGAACAGCTGCTGCTGTGTCTGTAAGGGACAAGCTGGCCCCACCCCGGAAGCTGTGAGAGGGGCTGATGGGGACAGCTCAGGGGAGTGCAGACGTTACAGGTCTGCATTGGGACTGGTTTGCACTAATTACCTTTATTGTCCATCTCTCTGCCATACTCCACATCAAGAATCGTGTACCTCCGCATGTGCACTGCGACATGCTATCTCCCCACCTCACATACATGCACATGCACATATGTACCCCCAGACACAATAAATTAAAAATTTTAAATCTCAGTGGATCCTTCTTCCCGAATCCCGTTTGTTTGTGGGTTCTGAATGTCTGTGTTCTGTGTTCAACTACAGACCAAAAGTATTAATATGTAGATATTGTCTTGACAAGAGAGAGACCACATTTGCAGTGTTTATTATGTATGCTGTTATGATTCTTGGATTTTATTGTTAGTTATTGTCCATTTCTTTTCTGCACCTATTTATGTAGCAAGTGCACATTGTATATAAAAGTATGTTTGTCTAAGGTTTGGTGCTACCTGGAGTTTGAGGCACGCACTGCAGGTTTGGAATATCAGGGCTGAGGAAGTGTACTATCAACTTAGAGGTTTTTTTTTTCCTTTTTTTGCTCTTTTATGTCCTAGGTAAAAAACAATTGAAAGTTGATTTTTGTTAGAATGAAACTTACCACTTAACCTTACTATATGCAGGGCTGCTCTGTGTTCTTAAGTGTATGTGTGCGTGTGCTTGTGTGTGTGTGCATACATGGTATAATGCATGTGTGGAGGTCAGAAGACAACTTAGCTGAGTTGGTTCTCTCCCACCACCATGTGGGTTTTAGAGTTAAACTTAGGTTGAGTGTGTTCATGGTGTAGGTCTTGAAGAACGACATCTTTTAGAAATACATGAGTGTGTTCATCATGAAGAGCAGAGTCCTGTAGAAATACATGAGTGTGTTCACCATGTAAGCAGTTGAAAGGCTTAGTTCCTTCCTTCTTGGAGACTTTCTACCTTGCCTCTCCACACACCCTCTTCCAACTCTCTTCCTAATGTGGTGAGATGAGGTATGTGTATTTGTGTCTGTTGGATATAAGACATTTGAAAAAAGAACATAGCCTGAAGAATGAATTCAAATAGTAATTTGAATACTTCTTGTTATACTTTTCATCTTTAATTGGACTGCATTTTTCCCTTTGGGATTATATCGTTGAGACAGCTTGTGTAATTAAAGGCGCATACAGTGTATGGTTTTGACATGCTAGTTCACAATTCCCCACATTGCATCTATTGGCTTCACAAATAAATGTTATGTGATGGGACTCTGTGCTATCCAACTGAGACGTGAAAATGAAATATTCAAACCTGAAATAATTTGAGAGGAGGGTGAGACGGGAAAGAAAGGAGTCTCTTACCAGAATGTTGAAAATATACCCCATATTGAAGTTATTATGATACCACAAAAATCTGAATGCAATTTAGATAGTTTGGTTGAGGAAGATGGCAGGGTACATGCATGAGGGGAGAACCCCAGACATGTGGACACCATTTCCAGAAGACACTGTCAGCTCCAGGTCACATGTCCCCACAAGTATTGAAAGGTAGAAAGAAATGCACAGACGATATTTATGTTTCAAATAACTCTGGCTAATCTGTATAATGATTTGTTGTGTTGTTATTTAGATGGAATGTGTCAGCAGGCAACCTATATTTAATAGAAAACTCTAGAATAGTTTTTTTCCTAATGATATCAGCTTCACAAAGCAAACAATATTCAGAACCTTTCTACGCCAGTGGAAAGCAGCCCTCTCCACATGACATCACCAGTGGTCAGTGTTAGTGGGAAGCAGTAACCATTGTATGACATCATCAGCCTCAGTGTTGGTGGCAGGCAGCGTCCTTCACGTGGTGCCATCAGCGGTCAGTGCCAATCATTGGAATTTCTTTTGAAGCAGCATTGCATTTGCAGCAGAACTCACGGTTGTTTCTTTACCCCATCTCTTAGGGATACTTTTTCATTTTTTTTGTCACTTTTCAGTAGCAAATAAATGCTGGTATTTCAGACTAGTGCATTTTTTTTGTTTGTTTGTTTTTTAAGATGCTGAAACTTATATGCACCAGAGGCTGTTTTGCCTACTGAGAAAAATATTAAAGACCATGTTTAGTTTCAAAGAGCTCTTAAGTATAGTCCTACTGGTGGATTTGATAATTAGAATTGCCACTGTCCCATTTTTGAAATGATGCCATACTTGTAGTCCAAAATAGTATTTTATCATTTTTTTATTTTATCACTTTTTTTTTATTTTGCATGCCAAAGGGCTTTAGTGTGTGTGTGTGTTTGTTGTGATTTTCCCATGATGTTTCACATAACCCAAAAGACGTAAAGGTGTGTGTGTGTGTGCGTGTGTGTGTGTGTGTACTTTTAGAACTGGCTCAATGGGATAATCTTTTACCAATTCATTTAATCATTCAATGAATTTTTATTGAAGACTTACTACTTGTTAAGCACCATTTGGCCTACAACATACCTTTTAAACAAAACAAACTTAGGTGCCATTTTTGGTGGTTTTAATTCAACTTTACAAGCAAACATTCTAATCCCGAGCTTTCCAATACAGTAGTCACTTACACGTGAAATGTAAATAAGCTGGTGTGAGATCAATTGGCTTCACCATTTGTCTTTGTCTTGCTCCTAGTTACCTGTGACAAAAGCTTACTGTGTTAGAGAGAGCCGACAGGAGGTCTCTTACATAGCACCCGTGGGCATCAAGGGCAACCCAGGGCTGTGTCAGTTGGATTAACCATAGCACATACTCACAAATTAGTGAAGGGAGAGAGGAGACTGGCATGAAATTCCTTCTTGATGTTTGATTTGACACTCTTTCTGGTGTATTGGGATCCGCTTGATCATGTGTAAACATCAGGTACTTCTAGGAACAAAAGCTTTTTCTGAGAGATCTTAAGGCATCTGCATAAGAGGGAGGCAAGAAGCTGGTACAGGCTCTGTTGCTCTACTTTTAATATGGTTTGGAAGTACTCTTGGTTGCTAACCTGTGACACTGAGGGATGGTAGAACCCAGAGGAGGTAGGCCCCAATGGAAGGAAGGGTGTCCTTGAGGAGGTGACCCTAATGGAAGGAAGGGTGTTCCTGAGGAGGTGACCCTAATGGAAGGAAGGGTGTCTCTGAGGAGGTGACCCTAATGGAAGGAAGGGTGTCCCTGAAGAGGTGGACCCCAATGGAAGGAAGGGTGTCCCTGAGGAAGTGGGCCCCGATGGAAGGAAGGGTGTCCCTGAGGAGGTGGG